ACGAGTGGTGGACGTGCAGCTTGGAGTCACCAAACTGATGCCTAAGCAGTTTTGCCCATCTCCTAGGTCGGGGTTCCATGTTGATCAGCAACCACAAACCAGTCACGGATATTTTAGGATATTTGTTAGGAAATATAAGTAACTAACAGTTACAGGATAAACCGCAGAGCACCATGGCAACCCACTCATGGAAATGTTAATAACTGGGATGTAAGGTGGGTGATTAACCTATGAAAAGCAGAACCCTAACATTAAGTTGGGTGCAGATCTATGCAGAGAAAAATGAAGTGTTCTCACCATGAACATGCACAAAAGCAGCGCGGCATTAGCAGCTGCAGTCCTGGGAGGGTCTGTGGGCAGGGGGTAGCAGAGGGTGGTCCCTGCTGCTGCCCCTCTGCCCCCCACCACAGCACTGAGCAGCAGTGGGGCGAGGGGTGATGGTGCTTCTCCCCTTCCCTTTGTTGGAGCGTAGCTGTGTTGTTTGGCTTGGCTTTGCAACAGGAGTTATAAATAAAAATGTCTCACTAAGAGTGCGTGACTCACAGTCCTCACCACAAGGATAACCTCTCTGCTAGGAAACCTGATCTGAGGACCAAACTACGGCATGCAAGAATCAAAGACATTGCTTAATTAATATATTTAATCCAAACTTGGAATGGACAAGCCACTCACCCTACCTGGGCTGGGCTGCTGGGAAAGGTGCCAATGCCTCACCAGCCCCCTGTCCTGTGCCATCCCTGACCTCCGGCTACCGACAGCCCAGCCCTCGACCTGCTCCAGGGCCCGGTGGTTTCCCTCAGACTGCAGCGGGGAGCTGGGCAGGGGCTGACGTGGCCTCCAGCAGCTCCAGCCAGGTGTGCCTCAGCCCGAGGGGGCAGCTCGTGGGTGCTGGTGTCACCTCACCTTGCTCAGGCGGGCTGGGACATTGGGACCAGGGACGTGCTGAGGCATCACCCCTGGCACAGGAAGCTGCTGCCCTTCAGAGGCTAGGGCTGCAGTGCCTCTCCCAGCTGGCTGCATGGCTCCATCCCACTGCCGCTCTCTGCCCACGGTGCTGCCTGTGGTGCCCAGCTACCTCATCCTCCCACTGTGCTGCTGTCCCGAAGCCGGAGCCTGGCCCCATGGGAAGAGGGACGCCCTGTGCCCCAGTGCCCCAGCCTGTCAGGACCTGGTTTATCCCAGGGGTAGGCGATGGTGGGGCGACAGCTGGCTGGGGGATTTGCTGAGGGCATTATTTAATGCTGCGGGTAAATGGAGAAACAGCAGCTAATTCTGGAGACAGTAATCCTCTTCCTCCCCCGGGGATGGGGAGTGTGCCAGTCACGCAGCCACCGGCGGAACCTGGGGACAAGCCCCCAGCAGCTCCTCAGGCGTGCTGTGGGCCAGAGTGACTCCCAGACCATGGGTGATGTACAGAAGGTAAGTGGGGTCCGGTGACACCCTGCCTGTGCCAGGGTGTGTGTGCCGGCACCAGCTCCCGGCTGCGGTGTCAAGCAGCCTGGCAGAGCAGGACCAGGGCTGTACCCTGGGCTTATCCCCCCAGCACACCCAGGAGCTGGCAGGGCTCCCAGGGCAGGGAGAGCACACCCGGGGCGGGGAATGGGGCTGGGCAGATCTTCCGTGAGGCCACCCTGAGGCTGGAGACCTTGGAGCCAAGCCCTGGAGCTCAGTCACGCCATAGACACAGGGTACCCATGGCCAACAGTGCGCCCAGATCCCCCGTCCAAAACAAGGGTGCTCTGCCACGACCTGACACCCCACAGGGCGCCCCGAGCACCCCACGCCCCCAGGGGCTGCTCTCCATCATCCAGAGGCTGAAGGGCTCCCTGGAGCAGGAGCTCCGCATCGTCCTGCTAGGGCTGGACAACGCAGGGAAGACCACGCTGCTGAAACGCCTGGCATCCGAGGAGGTCAGCACCATCACACCCACCCAGGTAGGTGCTGCTGGGGGCCACGGGCGGCAGGATGGTGGCAAGTCCTACCCTTTTCTTGGGTGATGCCAGGGTTTGTGTCCCCACGCAGGGCTTCAACATAAAGAGCATCCACTCGCACGGCTTCAAGCTGAATGTCTGGGATATCGGGGGGCAGCGCTCCATACGCCCATACTGGAGGAAGTATCTGGGCAGCACTGACCTGCTGGTGAGTGGGGTGGCCGCCCGCAGCACCCTGCAGCCCCGCGCGTGGAGAGCTGTGCCCTCTGTGTGGGACCCTGTACCCCAAGAGAGCCCTGCAGCCCCCATGCAAGGCAGAGGGCTGTGCAGCTGGGCGAGGAGGAGACAGTGACTGTCCTTTTTGTCCCCATGGCAGATTTATGTCATTGACAGTGCAGACCAGAAGCGCTTCGAGGAGACCGGGCAGGTATGAGGGGTCTGGGGCAGGGGGTGGCTGTGGGGTCCTGGGGCTTAGACCTGGCTGTCACCAGCTCTTTGAGGACTGGAGCAGGGAGTGAGGCTGCTCTCTACCCTGCAGCAGCACTGCTGTGGGGGCCATACTGACCCCAGAGCTATGTGGGAAGTGCTCGTGATTGGGGTCTCAGCACCTAGAGCCACCCCATCCCATGGTAGATCTGTGCCCAGCAGCTCCCTGCAAGCTGGGTGTGAAGCCCCAGGGGTACCCAACATAGGGGTGGCTCTGGTGAGAGAGACTCCTCAGTTGCCAGCCTCACGCCCTCCTCTTGCCTCCCCAGTGCCAGGTTAGCAATACGTCCAAGCAAACGTTTACGAGTAGCAAATTCAGAGTTACAAACCCTGGGAATGAAGCTGGAGAGGGGAAGGTGAGACACCGAGTGCCAGTCTTGGCTGTACCAGCACCAGACGGCAGTGTGGGTGTACCAGACAGCACGGGGCTGACAGCAGCCTCCTGTAGCTGCCCTTTGCTCAAGGCTCTTGGTGACAGGAGCGTGTCAGACCCCAGGTAATACTGCGTGCAGCTCCTGGGCTCTCTATAGGGCAGATGGAGCTTCAGGGGTGCGTGTCTCTCCCTCAGTATGTCGAGACCTCGCAGCTTCTTTGGCTGCAGTAAGAGCACCAGAGAGAGGGGGAGTGAGGCAATTTGGGGAGCTGGGGTGCCCCAGTCTGCCCCTGGGCAGCACAGGCAAGTGGACAGGCAGCTTTGTGGAGGAGGGCGGCAGCAGGCAGCAGCTCTGGGACATGGTCCTCTCTTGACAGGAACTGGCAGAGCTCACGGAGGAGGAGTCTCTCATGGGGGTCCCGCTGCTGGTGTTTGCCAACAAGCAGGACCTAGTGACTGCAGCACCAGCAGCTGAAATTGCAGAAGGGCTGAGCCTCCACACCTACCGGGACCGGGAATGGCAGATCCAGGCCTGCTCAGCCTTGTCTGGGGAAGGAGTGCAGGTAGAGATGGGGGCCTGCAGGCTCTGCAGAGGTGGGAGAGGACCCAAGGATCTGCCATGCTCTTGGGGCTGTGCTCATGTCTCTCTCTTCTCTCCAGGATGGAATGAACTGGATTTTCAGACAGATCATGAACAGGAAGAAGTGAGAGCTGTGAACTGCCAGACTGGGCTGAACTACAGGTCCCCACGGCCGACCGCCCTGGTCCCTAGACTCCCCCACGAGGGCTTGGCTGGGCCCTGAGCCTCAGGCTGCCATGCTCAGGTGGGCTTCCCACCCAATCTTTCACTGATCAGTTGGCTTCCCCTCTCCCTGCCTCCTGGGTTTCCACAGGCTCCTTGTACTCTGAAACCCTCCTACAGCCCCAGTGCTGTTGGAGGGAAGCACATGTCCTATTGGGTCAAGGGCTTGCACGCCTCCAGAGCAAGAACCTGCTAAAGACTTTTCCATCCACACTGCTGGCATACCCCACAGAGGCTGCTGCAGCACGCACGTTGCCCAGGGCATGCTGGACACCCCACCATGGCAGTGGCTACACCCTCAGACATGGCACATACAGCCAGCCCGAGTGGTGTGTATTCCCCTCCGCTCCCATAGGATGCGACAGGTGCTGCCCCAGCCATGGCAGCTGGCTCAGGAAGGCCTCAGTGCAGTATCATTCGCTGGCCAAAGGAGTTCCCACGTGTGCACAGGACATGGGACTAGCACAAAGACACAGAGAGGACCTGGCCGTCACCAACAGAGGGGTTTCATTGCCTGGTGACAGCCTTGGTTGCAGCCACGCTGTACATGCCACCGAGAGGGGCTGCTCTGCAAGAGCCCCTGGGAAGGGCATTGCCCTAAATGCACCCAGGCTGGGGCTTCTGTTGCCCCGCTGAAGATGCACATCCCAAGGGCTGGAAGATCTCCCTGGCCACCAGAGCCACCGTGGTTGAGCACCTGCGCTGCCGGGGGTGGGTGGGAGACACACTGCAATGGGGCTGGGGGCTTTCTGCTGTGCCAGGACCTGGG